AAAACTACAGCAAAATTAATTTTAAACCCACTCCAGGTGTCGCAATCTAAAGAATAAATGTGTTTTTAAAATAATTTTAGACAATTTCTGCGTCATTCTGAACAGTTTGGGTTCATTCTGGACCCCTTCAGGTGGACTTGGAGCGTTCTGACTTGCACTAGTTCTGGTTCTCCTCGGCGCCGGGCTCATCTGTGGCCTGAGGGGTTGTGTATGTTCTAGGAATACTAAATCCAGCGGCTAGCAGATCAGATTAGTATCTGTGAAATCACAGCTGATTAGGGTGTGTGTGTCCTAATTTATGCGCTCTGGAACATCTAAATTAATTCCCTATGCTTTATCCTCTAAAAACATAAGTGACCTACTTTAGACGTTATTACTGTTTTTTCCACAGTTTGAGTTTTTTTCTTTTTAATCCCTTCGGATGAGTGTGTGTGAGACACAGGAGGGGATATGAGGAAGCGCATACATGTGTGTGTTTGCAGAGGAGTGTGTAATTTCTCCAGAGCAGCTTTAAATCTCCTGGCGCTCGGACAGTTGCGACGGCGCTGTGATGATTTGCTGTGCGTGTGCATGAGCCAGTGTTTGTTGTGTGGCCTGTGGGAGCGATGAGTCAAACACTGCTGCTGCTGCTGCTGCCCACAACTCCTAATTAAACGCTGCTTCTTCTTTCTGCTTCTGTCCGTGTGTTCGCAGCAGCCGAGGGAGGTCATGATGAGGCGCTGAGGCCGGCTGACTCGCCCCCGGACCTCGCGGCGCCCTCCGACCTCTCGGCCTCCCCGCGGACCGGACACAGATCTGGGCCCGAGCACAAAGAGGACGTTCCCGCCGCCGCCTGGCCGGAGGGTAAAGTGTTCGCTGAGGCCAGGACGGCAGTTTGGACGGAAACGGAGGCAGGAGTGCGGGCCGGCAGGGTCTTTGCCGAGACGGGGATTATGGCGGGAACCGGCGCCTGGGCTGGCGCCGAATGGAGGCCGGTGGACTCGGAGGGGGGCGACCTGCCAAGCGTGCCCAGGGGCCCTGCGCCCTGGCTGGGGCCACAGAGGCTGCAGACGGCGGGCCAGAGAGAGCAGGCCACCTTCTCATCGGTGCTCAGCGTGCTGGCAGAGACGGCCGAGCTGCAGGCGCCGGCGGCGGGAAAACCTCTGGGGCTGCTGTCTAAAGCCGCCTGGGTGTCCAAGGCCTCGTCCTCCTCCACGACTAAAGCCCCCTCTTTGCCTTCGTCGTCCTCCTCCTCCTCCTCTCTAGACAGTCAGACTCCAGGCTCACACAACATGTCGCACAACTCCTCCGCCAGCGACAGCAGCACCAGTTTGGGTACGTCGGACTGCTGCTGTTTCTGTACATTCAGTCTTTTTGCAGTCGATCTACGTTTTTAATATTCAGTGTCGGCCAATCTGAGTCCAAATCCGATCCTAGATAACACACATGTCAAAGTACATCAAAGTTATTAAAATCAATACACTGTTAAATCAAATAGCTCCGCAGTGCATTAAGAGAGAAGCTGCATGTCGTCGTCCTGTTCTGTAGAAGTTCAGGAACTTTGGAGGACAAATGTTGGGGGGTAGGATGTACTGAGGCTCCACCAGATGGGGAAAACCTGTATGTCAGTAAATGTATCATAGACCAGCTGTAGTACCTGGTTGTTCCACCAGGTGGAGCCTCTTACTGTTTAATGAGACGGAGTTACAGGGATGTCTGCTGACTGACTCTAATGGTCCATAAAACAAGTGCATCTCCTTGTGGTAGCGTTGATAAACTCTGCAGCATCAAGGTGTAAAATGATGTCTACCTGCTGTCCACTTTAGCTAGCTACCTGACAATCATGCTAACAATGCTAAGTTTCAAATGCTAGCACAGCTTAGTGTCTGTAAGAGAGGGTTAGCGGGTGGATCCACAAGCTAGAAAACACGGTGAAAACCTGTATTCTTCACATGAAATCAGTAAATGTATTGTCGACCAGCTGTAGTACCTGGTTGTTCCACCAGGTGGAGCCTCTTACAGTTAAATGAGACGGAGTTACAGGTGTGTTTGCTGACCGACTCTAAGGGTCCGTAAAACAAGTGCACCTTTTTGTGGTAGCGTTGATAAACTCTGTGTCTATCTGCTGTCCAGTTTAGCTAGCTACCTGACAATCATGCTAGCAATGCTAAGCTAGGCGTTTCAAATGCTAGCACAGCTGCGTGTCTGTCAGAGACGGTTAGAGGGTGGATCCATGAGCTTCAAAACACGGTGAAAAGCTGTATTTTTCACATGAAGTCAGTAAATGTATCATAGATCAGCTGCAGTACCTGGTTGTTCCACCAGGTGGCGCATCTCACTGTTTAGAGACCAGAGGAGGCATCACTCAGACTACAGTTCATGGTGGCAGCAGAAAGCATTGTGGGAGTTTAGCAGCAACGGGACCATGACAGAGACTCTGAGGAGGTTCAGGACCTGGTTGTTGTATCTCGTTGGGTTCGTACCAGAGTCACCGCTGCAGTTTATATTATGTGTTTGAATACAGTTTGAACGTCGACTGTTCTCAGTTATCAGCTATCGATTGATATCGCTGCTATAAAGCATTAAAAATGTGCATCCCCAGCTCTCTCTGTACGACATCTGTGTGACAGCAGACGAAAACAGAACCTCCAGATCTTTAGTTCTGAATCCAACCTTCCTGACTGAACAAACCCTCCTTTAGCTGCGACGCTCAGCTTTGCCAGCTGCTGCACTGCAGACCTGTCACGCTTTGATTCCTCCACAAGCTCAGACGTTGTGCTCGGGGCTCTAAAGAGAGGTTGTCATTCTTGTTTTAACTTTTCCAAAACCAAAAACAAGAGAAGAGGTGTCAGAAACTGATTAAATGGTGTCTCTTTTATATCAGCACTAACAGAAGCTGTAAAACTTTGAAAGCTGCTTAATTATCTCACTCCTTACTGAGGTGATTCCAAAGCCAAGGAGCACGTTAGCTGCTAACACCACCACCATGATGGATGACCAAATAAACAGGCCTTTGTCTTGGAAAGATAAAAAGCTGTTAACGTAAATGAGGGGAATTTAAATCCTGAAACTCTAATTTTAAACCATCTAACGCAGGAACCTGAGTTTAAAGGATTTGAGTTAGATGTAGTTCTTTAAATCCTGGAACCATCCCTTAAAGGAACAAATGCTTTGAAGTGCTTCTGGCAGGAAACACGTTTTACTGTCGTAATAATACAGAAAGGAGAGAGAATTGGGTGTTCTAAGGCAATAAGTGCACGTTTCTTACGTTCCCTCATGGTGTTTGATTCGAGAAGCACAGGATGAGCTGCTTTATCCTTGAAGACGAGTTGACCTGGACAAAGTGTCGCCTCGACCCCGAGGTGGCCGGTTGGTGCCTGTGGGGCGTCGACACGTTTCGCGTTCAGCTCTTCTTCATGTGTCGGTAACAGCTGGGAAATGTCACGCTTGTTTTGCTTTGCTTTGGATGTGAAAACGTGTTAAAACTCCCCCAACGACGATCAGGTTTAAGAAGCAGGCTAGCTGGATGGTTGTGTTTCCAGCTACAACACCGATCAGGTAGAAGTTAATGTACGTCTCTGACAGCGAACTCTTATCTTTGTAAATTCCATGTGAGACCACAAACGTGTCACCACTTTGGATGTTTCCGTCCAATCCCAGTGATCAGGATAAAAACCAATCAAGGTGTTTATTAACGGAGCGATGTCGACACAAACCTGAGAACAGTCCGTATATAGAGCTCTGGTCAGAGGTCATGAACCTCCTCAGAGTCTCTGTCATGGTCCCGCTGCTACTGAACTCCCACAATGCTCTCTGCTGCCACCATGAGCTGTAGTCTGAGTGACGCCTCCTCTGGTCTCTAAACAATGAGAGGCTCCACCTGGTGGAACAGCCAGGTACTACAGCCGGTCCACGATACATTTACTGACTTCATGTAAGGAATACAGGTCGTCACCGTGTTTTGGGGATCCACTCGCTAACCCTCTCTCACAGACACTAAGCTGTGCTAGCATTTGACACTCCTAGCTTAGCATTGTTAGCATGATTGTCAGGTAGCTAGCCAAACTGGACAGTAGGTAGACATAATTTTACACCTTGATGCTGAAGAGTTCATCAACGTTACCACAAAGAGGTGCACTTGTTTTATGGACCCTTAGAGTCAGTCAGCAGACACACCTGTAACTCCGTCTCAATAAGCGGTAAGAGGCTCCACCTGGTGGAACAACCAGGTACTACAGCTGGTCTATGATACATTTACTGACTTCATGTAGAAATTCAGGTGTTCTCCATGTGTTGGAGCCTCAGTACATCCTGGAGGTTCGAAGAAGGTTCCTGAACATCTACAGAAGCCAAGGAAGCGTTTGGATGCAGAAAGGCATTTTTTTCTTCGTACTTTGCAGGGATTCAGATTTTCACAACTTTGATGGACTTGAATCGTGTGTTATCGAGGAAAACGGTCTCAGATCGGGACGTTGTATCAGCACATACTAAATTGTAAAAAAATGTTTATACGAAACATTCAGGTGATTAGCTTTATTTTTTTTACAACTTCGCATAACGAAATTTGTTCTTTTCATCATTAATTGTCACTGAAATGTAATTTGTCAGCAGTATGGCTTCATCATCCCGTCACCGTCATCCTCATCGTTTTGTCATCGTCTGTATCATGTCATCCTCGTCTTCTTCATCACCATCATCATCATCATCATCTCTGTCCTCCTCCATCATGTCTCATTCCACCACCTCCATGTCACACCAGCTACAAGGTAAATCCTCCACTTTAGTGTCGGACCAAAGAAACCACAAAACCTAATAATCCCAACATTTCCCGTCACGTCGATCCACATCACAAACACAGCGCTTGACGACCTCGGCTGCTGTGGGGAGGCTCAGATTGAATCTGCAGCTCGGTCTGAAGAGGATTGATCACCTCCCTCTTGTTTGCTTCAGCCTCCTCTACACTCTCCATCAATTTGCGTCTCCTATTAGCATGTAGATGGAACCTCTGGCATTAAAACGCCTCTCTGGTTTACACATTGGAATTGGATTTGTATTCGCTGTGCAGAGCTGAAAGTGATGCGCGCTCCATCTTGTGTAATTTCTGTTTGACAGGAACCTCCTCGTCCTCTGTGTTCATCAGTCATGAGAAAACTGACAATCGTAGTTTTGTCAGTTTGTTATGAACTTTGCAGCTGTTTCATTTTCACTTTCTTTTTATTTTGAGGCGTATATTTATAGTTCTGAGTGTTAAAATATGATTTTATTAGAAAATTGACTTGGCTACGAGCCCATTCCTTAAGACCAGGACTAAGATTAATGTCAGTAACGTCCTTGAATCTCCCTGATTCCTGACCGTCTCTTCTCCCTGCAGAGGAGTCGGTGAGCAGCCTGCCGGCCTGGGACCTCCCCACCGTCCCCGAGTCGCTGCTGTCCACGGTGGGCGACCACGACATCACGCTACCAGCCAACGTCACCAGCCCGTTCTCCACCCACCAGTGGAACACCACCATGCCGGTACGCACCAGAAACACCTCGCGGCTCACGACCGCACCGACCACCACGACCACCGTGGCGTCGCTGTCGCCGACCGCCACCTCGACGTTCTCCAGCACGGCGCCGCCGGAGCCCACCACGGCTTCGCCCGCCACGAGCCGGGACACTGTGACGAGCCCCCAGCTGACAACAGTAACCACGACGACGCCCGCGACGACCACTCCGACTGTGACCGAGGTCGCGACGCAGGCGCTGACCACTGGGGGCGCTGTGGCGCTACCGCCAAATACCACCGCTACGGCAACCACGCAGCAAACAACAAGCCTCAAACTCACCACGACAACCACAACTCAGCCTACAACCACCACTACAACCACACCCGCCCCGACTACCACCACCACCACCACTGTCCCCCCAACCACCACCACTACTACCACTGTCCCCCCAACCACCACCACTACCACCACTGTCCCCCCAACCACCACCACTACTACCACTACGACTACTACTACTACTACTCCTGCTCCCACTACTACCACTACTGCATCTACTACTACCACTACTACTGCTGCCACCACTACCACCACCACCACCACGACAACCAAGGCGCCTCCCACCACGGTGCTCGTCCCGGTCCAGACTACACCACCTCCAACCGTCGCCCAACAGACTCCGTCCAGTACCAGCGCAGAGGAGCTTCCTCTACCTTGCAACGTGACGGAGAAGTTCTGGGTCAGAACAGGTACGAGACTACAATCTGATCACTTTGAACACTTGGAGTAAGACATAACGATGATAGGGATGTCCTAATTAATTTTAAACTAATTGCTAACTTGACAGACATAAGCCCAATCTCCTGGACACCATTTGTCTTGAGCTGATGTTGGTGTTTTAGTCAGAACACATGATTTGGGCTGCAGAGGTTGCAAATTCAGTTTGTCTTTTGTACATGAACTCTGGCTGGAGGTCATTAAGTGTCACAGAGGTCTTTGTCATGGTGCCTTTGTGGCTATTTCCAACCACGGACACGTGACTTGATTGATTATAGTAACCAAGTCCTAGTGGTCTCCGAGTTGTGCTGAACACATGAGCTCTGGCTGGAGGTCATTAACTACCACAGAGATCTTTGTCATGGTTCTCGTTGCCAACTCAGGCTAGTTAGACCACCTGGTGGAACAACCAGGTACTACAGCTGGTCTAGGATACATTTTCTGGCATGCATGACCTTCGTCTTCTGCCGTATTGATTAATATATTATTATCGTGTATTATGTCGGTAAATGGTGTCCGATCGGGACTCTGTTCCAACAGATACTGAACATAAACCATTCTGGTCAGACTGGGGCCAAAACTCTTGATCTAGACATCCCTGTTCCTCAGAAATTACTAAAACTAATTTGTTGTTTTTTGACATTTGTGGGCGATAAATCACAGCCGTTTAATCTGCATGACTTTCTTTATGCTTGTGTGTTGTTGCTTTAAGCTGATTTAGGATTCTTCACATTGTGTCGCCAAGAGATTAAAGCATCTGCATCCAGGTGCAGGTTTAGTCTGTGAATAGTGCATCTGTTTTTATTTTTTAAATTCCAAATCTCATTAAAATGACGCAGATTCCATCAGGTGTAGATGTTTGCAGTGTGGAAAGCTTCAGTCGGGCGGATGTAGATCCTTCTCTGAGCGTTTTTACATTTTAGATCAACAGATGCCATAAATGATCCAAAAGAGCAGCATGTATTAAAACTGAACTAATATTCTGACATGTGTGGGAGCTGCAGGAAAGACAGTGAAGGCATCAGGGCGTTCTCATCAAGGACACTCTCCTGTTATTCCAGGCGCTACAAGCCCCTTTTTTCAAATTACACACAACATAATCAGTGTTATGTAAAGGCAGGCTTTAGCCACTGTTCTGGAAAAACGATCGCAAAGTAATGACGAGAACACATGAAATGACATTTCAGCAGGTCGGGCGCGATGTGTACCTGTTAGATGTAAATACATCAGCAGCAATTAATTAAAACCTCCGGCACAAGTCCTATAAAAAGATAAATAACAGTAGTAAGAATGAGATCGTAGCCTCTGATTGCAGAGCTGGAGTTGAGTTACTGCAGCTCTTAGTGTCGGTTGGCAGCGTTGTGCACAAACTCTGCTTTATGGAGTTGTGTGTGTGTTTGTGTGCATATAAAAGATCTGCTGCTGGAGCTGCAGCCCTCTAACAAGAGATCCGCGGTTGCTAACCAACGCTGCCTCGTTTTCATCCAGCGGAGGGTCACGGAGGCTGAGAGGAGCGAAGCAGCAAAGTTTAATACCAGAAAAACAATCTGCTTTCACCACGACAGGCCGTAAACATGTTCTAGTCGACGCCATGTGTCCCTGCTGAGGACCCGAGCTGCTCATCAGACGTGTTCTGATGGTGTGGACATGGCTGTAGCTCAGTGGTGACACGGTCCAGGTGAAGCTTGGTTCTGCTCAGTCACTTCAGCTCTGCATCATTTCTTCCACAGTTTTGTCCATTGAGCTGCGTCGGAACCGACTGGACCTGATCCTGAAGCAGAACCTCTCCAAAGGCCTGAGCCACGCGCTGCAGCGAGCTCTGAACGACTCCACCGCCTACGCACAGGTTAGTGCTCATAACGGGTTAACTACAGGCTAACTACCGGTCAGCAGCTAGTCAACACAGGGTTAAACGAAA